ATTTTTGTTGCATTTGTGTTTGTGCATTTTGGAGTTTGAATCATTCAGGTGTTTCACCATTTGCTGCATGTTTGCACCTGTTGGCCTTCATCTAATCTTTATTTTAGTCAAATCTTTCTTTGGTAGGATTGCATTAAGTTTGTTTTTTTTCTCCTTTGATCTTTCTTACATAATCTTCTTGGCTTTCTAATTCCTCCCTCACAGTTTCTACATCCTCTGAACTAATAATTGGATTTTGGACTTAATTTCTTTTTGATTATTGATTTCTTCATCCTGCATCTAGTCTGCTTACCTTTGGGTTCCCCACACAAGCCTTTCAGACAGAAGACACTTACTTACTTAAGTCTTGCTGAGGTCAAGGCCAGTTAACTCTGGTTAGTCATTATTCTGGAGGTTTATTTTTGCAGTATGCACTGATTACCCAACACTCAGATCAATAGGAAAGTCCCAGACATTCAGTGAAGATCTAAAAAAAACTAGAGATTTACACAAGTTGGAAAAGTTTTAACAGTAGCTGTGTTTCCTTTACAAATGTGGCCAATCTTTATCAATATTCTGCTAACATAAAAGAAACACAATTTTGCAATTGTGGTGTTTCCATTACATAAGAAATTAAATAAAATTCACACATGAATGAGTCATTAAACATCATGACAGCGACAGACGAAAGCACCAGATTAATAATTCAGCCATCAGAAGAGATGTTGGCGTCTCATTCAGGCGTTGGAGCGACAAACCCTGGATGCTTGGGAGTGGCTACATATCTGGCGTTTTGGGGAAACTGAAGTCGGCCATTTTACAGAAAAGCAACGAATTCAACACGTTGGAATGGTACACAGCTTTTTCTGAACTGATGCTGTTAGAGCTCTGGTGGAGCCAGAGAAAAACAAAAACAAACCATCATCTTCTGATCACTTCCTGTTGTCTTCTTCATCGTTTCTGCAGTAGTAACATCCCACAGATTAAATAAAAACTTTTTTTATCGAACGACGTGTTCTTTTCTAAATTGCTGTGTTTCCATGAGACAATATTTTCATAATTTCAATTTGCACAATTTTATGATATTGCAGCAAGAGACTCAGATCAGTTCAGCCCTGATGATCCTGATTTTAGTTCGTGGTTGTTGTTGCAGCGCCCCAAGAGGCGAGAAGGGGAACAGGTTTTCCAAAGGGTTTGCTTGGTTTAACTCTGAGCAGTGAGAAAGAACCACAGCAGCTGAAAATGTAGCAAATGTTGCAATTTTTGTTCCCAATCATCTCCTGGACCATGAGGCGGGAAAACAACCCAAGACTGTAAAGATATTTACAATGGTAATGATATTTTTCAGCTCTAAAGTCTTGTCTGACAGTACAGACATGATTGATCATGTCTCCGATTAGTTTGATATTTTTATTTCTTGGGTGTTAATCCTAGTTATTCCTAGCTGGGCTATAAATAGAGAAACAGCTGAGAATCCGTAGAGCATGTAAGGCAGAAGTGAAGGTCAGTGACGTTGGAAAGTTTTCAGATTTCACAGAGGAAACTTATTGACTTCCCCCTTCATAAGTGAAGTCGTCACCCGTAGCATCTGCCCGGTGACACATGGTGCAGCCTCTGATATTGGTGACTTAAACCCCAGAGTCCTGCATGTTTACATCAACAAGCGAAACCACCATCACTTTCCACGCTGCGTGATCAGGGACGCTCGGGGGTTCTCGTGTCGTCCCTGGGGAGACCGTTGTTTAGCTCTGACAACAATGAGCTCATCAGGTCCGCCCACCCAGGCCCTGTATCCAGGCTGAAAGGGGATCCATCGCTCCACCAGGGCACCGTTTCAAACCAGAGCTCCAGGTTAATTAAGCCGTGATTAATCCGACATGCATGTACTCTCGCTGACCTGCCTCACTGGGCGACATAAGCCTCCCAATTAATAAGTCAGGAGCAAGAAGGATTAAAGCTTTAGTTGCTTTGTCAACTGAGACACCAAGTTTGATACAAAAAGTCTTTTTACAATTGACTGGGCTTTGTTGATGCTTAAGCAAAGAGAAAATGAATGTGAAGGAATCTTAAAATATAAAAATGTCTTGAATGTCAAATCACTGTATTTCTAACCCATTATGTCTGGGTAATTTTGTTAACTTAAATCCTAAAATGCCAGAATTCATTTGGAACAGAAGATCCTTAATAAAGGCTCATCAAAGTTACAAAAGGAAACATTTTAGAGTTGATTTAGATTGTTTTGATGTGGCATTCCCTTGGAGCGCTGCAATTCCCCTGCTGCAAAAAACATTTCTATTAGCCTACATGGCATCCATCCATCCATCATCCATCCATCATCCATCCATCCATCCATCCATCCATCCATCCAACCCACCACGCACAGGGAGAACATGCAGAAAGACCCCGGGCCGGGAATCGAACCCAGGACCTTCTACCAACAGCGCCACTGTGCAACCTGCTTACATGGCTAGTAATGGTCAAAGTTAGCATTGGAGGTTGTGGTTATTAGCATCAGCTAATGTCAACAAAGCAGAAGAATTACAAATGCCTATTTGTTCAAATAGGACTATACATTACATCCCTGAGACTTCATGTTTCCTGTGTGTGTCATGAGGTTTAATCTCATCTTAACAAGTCATTATTAAGCTACATTATTGAGGGATAATCCTCTATTTCTTTAAAGGAGGATTATGTAAAACCATATATGAGCAGTTAGTGTCCTGTCTGCAGCAGACTGTGGTTGGCAGATAAATGTGCTTCACTCTTCCTCTTTCCAAATGAGCAAAATATCTACTTACGTTTCACTGATATAAATCTTTTTATTGATTTATTCACAGATTGTCTGCCTCATAACAAACTGTTTCAACTTGGTGACAGTTTTAACAAACATGTAGAAAACATTTTTTAATAAAAGTTACATTAAGCGATTTCAGAGTCGGGTAGTAACTAGTTACATTCACTCACTTACATTTATTTGAGTAACTTTTTGGAAAAAAAATTACTTTTCATTGTATTTTTACTACACTGCACTTTTTACTTTTACTTGAATAATTTTATTATAAATTATTTCTGCTCTGACTTGAGTAAAATTTCTGGATTTTCTCCCCACTGAATGGAAAACAAACATGTTTTAACCAAAAATTCACCAGACTCAGATACACAACTGAAGTTTCTGTTAAAGTTTCACAAGTTTTTCATTGGAAGAAAAATTTTCTTTTGCCTGATTTTGTTATTTTTTGTTACTTAAACTAACAAATTATTGCTGTTTTTGTTCTTAAAATACCAAAAATTCCACTTAACTTTATATTTTGGTCCATCTGATGAAGTAATTTTTAAATATTAAATGACTGATAATTTGATCAGTTACTCAGTTCTTGACTAGAGTTTTTAACAAATACTTTTTTACTCTTACTTGTGTAAAAATATGTTGAAGTAGTGCTACTTTTACTTAAGTACAATTTGTGGGTACTATACCCACCTTTAATCGACTTTAAAGTAAAGTCTTGCATGACAATTTTGTTGCACGCATGTAGTTTAAATTAGTAACCTTGTGTTGTTGTGTTGGATTCATTTGCATTTGGAGAAAACCCGGCTTCTGTCAGTGATAATGGTCTTATCAGAGTAATCTATGCTGCTGTCTGACACGTCCCCTCACCTGTCTCCACCTGTCTCCACCTGAACGCAGGCAGCAGGTTTCCTCAGTGTCCTTCTCGTGATATGATGGTGCAGAAACAGCAGCTCTGGTTTCAAGATCTTATCAGGCGATTAGCAAATCCTGCGTGGTTATTACTCAGTGTTCTGCCTAACAACAAGCTAGCTGTTTGTTTTGACTGTCCCCGCTGAAACTGGGCCACATGATAGTCTGCCTGTTTGTTTACATGAGACGGCGTTGATGCGGAGAGGTAAATAAATGGCATTTTGAAGCTGTGAAAGTTAAAATATTGCAGATGCTTTTGAAAAATCTATTTTTTGTACTGAATCCCATTTAATCGAATAATCAGCTTTACCAACCTTGTGGTTTTGTCTGTCCAGGCTGATTAGACTCATAACAGGTGCATCATCCCTCCAGGCGGAGACTAATGAAAAAAGCTTAGTCATTGTGACAGAAGTAAATACTATTGTTCTTTGTGTTAGGAGCTTTTTCTATGCTACAAATGCATCTGTGTGCTAACATCCATACCTGCTATCGATCTGATAGCGAACTAGCAGCACAACTTCACAACAGCAACATACTAGAAAGAAATAGTTGGATGTCGTTACGTTTTCTGCTTTAATTTTTTTCTATTATGTTGAAAAATATGTTCTCATGTCTGTTTTTTTTTCTCTTCTTTATAAAATTTGTTTTAGCTGACTGGTCACAATATTACAATTGACCTGTGTTAATTAGCATAAAGGAAAAGGGCACCTGAGCATCTCTGCAGACCCCACACCTCCTGGACACAAACTGTTTAGTTTTTTACCTTCAGGGCGGCGCTAAAATGCGCCACTTTTACAAATAACAGAAACTGTTTCTTTGTGCCTGACTATCTCTCTGATAAATAGTTAACAGTCAGAGTGCTCAGATAAATACTGTGCATAGAAACAGTGTACATATACATATTTACAAGAAAGAAAAGACATACCTTTTGCGTATATTTATAGTTTATTTGAAGTCATATTCCTTGTTTGTGTGCTAAAACTTGTCAAATAAAGATGACTCAATCTGATTAAGTAAAATTGTAGCTCTGCAATGGTGTTGCATGTTTTTCTCACTTTTACAGAATTGATGTTGTGTGCACTGATTGTTAGTATTGAACATAGAGAGCGAGCTATTCTGCTTCTCTGGAGTTTTTAAGAGCAAATGTTTGCTGAATTATGTATTTTATATATTGTTTTTTTTACCATTATTCCATCTTTTGCAGAATTTTTAAAAACAAAAATAATTGTAGGTTTTATGTGTATCAGACATTTTTTGGTGTATATACCTTTAAGAATTTGGGCGGCACCTTTTATCCAGACTACCGTTTCTTCGGCAGGTGAAGTTTAATAGCTAGCCTCTTCCGCCCTCTAGTTGTCAAAATATATCATTACATGTAGTTTAGTTTTTTAAATTTTCTTCATAAATTTTATATTCGTTTCCAACCGTTCAAATTAATTTGAAGCAGTCCGTTTTTTTCTGTCGTTGCGGTAATAAGTGTCCGTGTTTGTATCACCGGCGGCTAACGAATAGCACTGCCTCTTTAAATCTGCCGAGCGGGTCATTATTTGGCAGGAAGTTAGCTGAAGCTAGCTCATAACCAATAATGAAGACACTGAGGAGCATTTAGCTGCCTTTTAACGCTCCTTAAAGAAGGTAAATATGAATACCGTGTGATTTTTAAAGATATAAACGCGTGTTAACTGTCATTTGTCGGTGTTGTTGATGTTTGCGTTTGGTTTAAATGGAGGTTTGGCGGTTTGAAACTGCTCAGACATGGCTCATGTTGCCAGAATTACATGTAGACAAACAAATACATTACTGCTACTGATTATTAAGAATAAAACACGGGTTTATTGAGGCTGTGTACCTGTTAGAGTCTGTGTGTGACCCTACAGGCTCAGTTATTTTGATTGTGAGCGCAGCTCTAAGACGCTTAGAGAAGCTTTGGAAACGCATGAAGGATTTATTCATGTGGGTTGCTGTGTGTATACCTGGATGAAAACGCATCTAATATTTAAGTGGCTAAAATGAAAATTAATTATTACAAAACAACCAATTCAGACATTTTTCCAAATTTGCTTCTTTCAATATAAAACTTATCCATTAACTACATTCGTTAAATGTGCATCTAACCTAGTTAGATCTAACATGGGGGTGTCCAAAGTGCGGCCCCGGGGGCCATTTGTGTCCCTAAGAATGAGTTTGTTTGGCCCCTGACTGCAGTTGACAAATGGTGCAGATTTGGCCCTCCGGCATATAAAACCGATGTACATGAAATGACAGCCAAGATGATATAACCTAGCTTATAATGTTAACTAAATTAAATAAGGTTTTTAAATTGTTTTGGTTTTTTTTACATTACAGAACCAAGTTTTTCACTTGTATTTGAAGGCAGAGTCCAAGGCAGCTATGGTAAGTAGAGGGAAGAAAAAACAATGAACTTTGAATACGATGGATGAAAATCCATCCCGACAAACTGTATTTTAGGATAAGTTTTCTTCTCATAATTCACTTATTTTCGCTCCTCTTCCTCCTCCTCTTCGTCTCAGTCTTCAGCAGTGGACCTGAAGACCAAGGAGGAGAAAGATGCAGAGTTGGACAAACGAATTGAAGCTCTGAGGAAGAAGAACGAAGCTCTGGTGAAGAGATACCAGGTAGGAAGAAATTATTTAATGAGAACATGCCACATATTGTCATGGTTTATACAGAGTCTTACAAAGTTAGAATCTTAACTTTAAGCCATAAAATGTACTTTAATTACACATAGCTAAGTCTCAAATGTGTATATATATTTTTTTCTACATACATACGTTTTTTCAGCTGCAGATTCCTTCTTGGCTACAAACGATCAATTGTTCATAAAAGGAATGCTGTTATTAAATTTTAGGAAATAAAATGTGTAACTTTTGATTAAAATTTTTATTTTCATCTATCAATATGTCTTATATAAAAAATCTTCAAATGAGACCAATTTTTAATCTGATAAATTGATTAATCATCAGAATAATCAATTACTAAAGTAATATTTAGCTATAGGTCTAATTTAAAAATGTTTTTTTTCTGCTGCACTGGGTTTATTGTAAGTTTTATTAAACTGATTACATTTTTTGTTAAATTATACATTACTATCTTATACAAAGTATGTAGTTAACAAGCTTTGTCTTGAAAATGGATTTTATTATTATGTAACTTTATGTGCTGTAAAAAAGCAGTGAATTTAGGTGACCTAAGTGTATGAAGCCAGATTTAATTCCAGCATTAAAAATCATTACATTAAGCTTCAGTTAAAAATATATCATGTTTTTTGTAGTTCATGAAGGTTTACATTTAAAAACGAATAAAGTTGGTTTTTCTGGGGGGTTGTAATGTTGATGTTGGTCCCCACAGGAAATTGAGGAAGACAAGAAGAAGGCGGAGCAGGAAGGCATCGCCGTGACGACGCCCCGGAAACCCCGGACACACGAGCCGGAAGCGGACAGGAGGAAGACGGAGAAGGAGAACCTGACGGTCACAGTGGATCTGTCCAAACCGGCAGGGGTCAGGCGCTGCTTCTCACTGACGGCTGTTCACATTATTCACCACAAATTATTATAGTTTTACAGCAAAAATTCAATGATTTTATAATAATAAATCAACAATTCAATAGTTTTATTTTAAGAATAACTCCATGATTTATGATTACAAAAAACGGTGCATCACGTACAAAAGCAAAATCTCAAAATGTTCCTACAGTGATAGTACTGCAGCTCGTTTCCCAACACTGCCGCCTGGTGGTCACTGCCTGGAATAAACTCATTGTGATTTTTACATATCAACATTGGATGCTTAATACTGACTGAATACAAGCTGATGTCTGGAATATTTAGTTATTATTTTAGTTTCACAAGCAAATTTAAAAAGGTTCTGTGGGTCGGAGTGGAAGACCTCAGAGGATGTAATAATGTTGAGGTTAAAACAGATTAAAAGTTAAAGACTCAGACCACAGGCTCACCCAAACTGATTTATTCTGGGAAATTCACTTCTGCTCCAGCTGAGCTATTCTCCTCCTTCCTGTTTATGGACTTTATGAAATTATTCTCTACTCAAATGAATGTGAAATCCACTGTGGTTGGAGAAAACGGACCACCTGATCTGGACAAATTGGAGCATAACGAGGCTTGTGTTTCCTAAACATCAGCAAATGAGTTTGAATTTTTACTTCCTCCCTGTGGAGTTGGTTCAGACAGATTCGATTTGTGTCTATTGGACCTGGTAGACCAGGGGTCTGCAACCTTTACAATCCAAAAATAAATGTTTGAACTCGTCTGTTCCTGTGTTGTGTGTGTTTGCAGCAGGACAAGAGAGTTGTGAACGACTGGAAGCCCAGCACGCCTCGCGGCCGGAAGAAGTCAGAGGAGAGCGACAGTCCTAAAGGTCAGAGCGATGGCCGCAGCCCCCCCAGGAGGACGGGGTCGGGCAGAGTGGGCCGAGGCGGTCAGAGAGGAGGAGGAGAAGGAGGAGGGCGCCAAGAGAGGAGGGACCGGGAGACCAGAACTCCCAGGGAGGGAGAGTCTGCGGAGCCAGGCGGCCAGGGACGGAGAGGAGGAAGACGAGGAGGAAGAGGCGGGAGAGGAGGAGGAGGAGGCAGAGAGGGAGGAGCAGGGAGTGGAGGCGGAGATGAAGGTACACCAGGAGGACTGGACAGAAAGTCAAAGGTGAGAAAGGGGGGCAAAGTTTATTTATAAGGATGCAAAGATATGAAAACATGAGACGACAATAATATTGAGGTTATGACTACGATGCAAACTAATGATTAACTTATGCTTAAGTGTCACTTTATGGTTTATTGATTTTAAATTAGTTCCAGTTGGTTAACTGATCTCCACTTAGACCAGCCTGTTTCCCAACCTGATGGTCCGGTAGACTCGGTTCTGCTGGGACCAGAACTTCATCATCTGCTCCACCACCTGTGGTTCTCTCTCTGCTCTGAGTCAATCCAACCTGTTCCCCTCCTGGCCTGTGGGGGCGCTGCACCAAGAACCACTGAGGAAAACGACACAAAAACCTCTGAGAGCAGCTGATGGAAACAAAAACTGCTCAGATTTTAGCAGTTGAAGGATTTTATTTTATTTTTTTAAGGTTTTCAAATAAAGTAATATGTTAAACTTGTATGGAAAAAAACGAGTAATTTTCAAACAAAAAAATAGATAAAATATATTTTATCCAAATCCAGTGCAATTATCCCATAAAAACCTGCTTAACTTTGCATTTGTTTTTAATTACAGCTGTGTTTGTAAAATGTCTGATGTAATATTTGTTTTTTGGACAGGAATGGGAGGAGAAAAGGCGGCAGAACATTGAGAAGATGAATGAGGAAATGGAGAGGATAGCAGAGTATGAACGAGGACAGAGGGTATCCGAGCCGCCGGACGTAATCTAGATTTTATTCTGTTGAGTCACAGATTACAGGGTTTGGTCTGTAATCCCTCCGTTCAGGTGGATGGAGACAAGCCCATCCGTAATTTTCTGGACGACCCAAGGCGTTCGGGTCCGGCTCCGGACATTGACCGGAAAGAAGGCAGCCGGAGACACGTCCGGAACTGGGGAGGGCTGGACTTTGACAACGTGAAGACGGGACACGAACTGGAGCGAGAGTGGACCGTGAGTCGTTCAGGCAATCCTAAACCGGGATTAAGCGATTAACGTTTCATATTTTTACGCCGCCCTGCTTTCCGCCGGTCTGTTGCAGAGTCGGCGGCCGGGTCCGAAAGGCGGTTCTGTGGACATGACCATGTCGATGACCGGCCGCGAGAGAGCCGAGTACCTCCGCTGGAAGAAGGAGCGCGAGCAGATCGATGAGGAGAGACTGGCTCGCCACCGAAACGCCACGGGCCAGTGGAGGCGGGAGTGGGACGCGCAGAAGACTGACAGCATGTGAGAACGGCGCCACGTGTGACAAACTCCAGGCCCGGGGGCCGAATTCGGCCCGCCGTCGCTTTTCATGTGGCCCTCAGGGCTCTGCATAAATAGAACCTTTAAGATAACAGTTGTGTGTTTCAAGATTATTTTGTCATTCAAATCAAAACAGTTTTTATTTATAGTGCTAATTTCCACCATGTTTTGCAATTTCACACAAAATCAACAAATCCTCTCACTTTTTTGCACTAATTCCTTGTCCTGAAGTAATCCATGTCAGTAGGCAGACACAGTCACAGAGCATGGTGGACCCATGACTTGAAACCAACAAGAAGAAAATATGTTGGTGCTGTTGACCAATGTGTGAGATTACATGAACAAAATGGCTGCTGTCGGGATCGGTCCGACTGAGACCGAGAAGGAAAACATGTCAGACGAGATGCTTTCGCTGTCCTACTGCGACATGGAGGAGCTTCACCTGAAATCTGTGGAAGCATACAACCAGTGTTTATCGTTAATTTATAAATGGATTTGTAAATCTGGCCCTTTAAGGACATCATGATACGCCCCATAAAAAAGATGAATTTTAGTTTTTATTTATTCATAGAATTGCTTTCGGCTGTAGGAAGGCTTGTGGCCATAATCTTTTGCTGTCTCAGTTACTGGTGTATAAATTAACAGACTATTAATAAATAAACAATCTTTAGCCCAAAGCTAAAGCCTGGTGACCCGCCAGGCTTATAAAACACTGGTGGCGACTGATGTCACATGAGCAAATTATAAACTATAAAACAGCAGAGAATTGAAAGTAAATAACATTTGGTAGTTTGATGTCAACAGGCTAAACGTAGCGCGGAGGACGGCGTTCAGTAGAGAACAAAGTGTTTTTCTGCTGAAGGAGATTTCTAAATGTTCTGCTAATCCAGCCACATTTAGAAAGGTCGTGTAGGTCATAAAGAGCGCGGTGGTCTTGCAGTGTCGCGTTGCCCTCGCTGTGTAGCCGTGCAGTTACCTCATTAAGGGACAGCCTGGTTTATTCTTCCTAAACCAAAGTGAATCATAAATAAAGTAAATGAAGCTGAAATGTCTCTGTTTTCCCCTGTGGCTTTGTTTTCAGGTTCAAGGAGGATCCATTTGTGGCTGCAGAGGGCGTAACGGCAGAGGAGGGTGGCAGGAGAGGCGAGTCAACCCAAACAGGCTTTTCTTACACAACAGCCTTTGACCCTCCATCACATACACACTTCCTAGCAACTTCACACATCAGACAGCATCATCTCCTTCCTCCAGCTAATTAAGCTGCTTATGTAAACGCTTGCTGTATTTCCCCACGGTCCAAATGAGCCTCGGCGTTGAGCTTCAGTCGTTCTGTTATCGGAGGAGCTTTTATAAAACACGTCGGCTTTCCTTTCTGCTTGATGATGAGTGGCATCCATCACTAGCGCCGCCTGTCAAACTGATGTTTTCACATTCATTAACGTCACCATAAAACAGGGTAAAACATCAGAAAATCTGATTTGGTTCACATTAGCCTGCTGTGTTCAGTTTATTAGATTGTTTAACAAGGGGAAATATATTAATATTATCATTTACCAGTACTATAGCATTAGCTCTGCTAACGCTAAAGCTCTACACCAATATGGTATTCAGTGGAAGCTAATGTTAATTACCACACTATCATGATAGCAGAAGCTAATGCTAAAGAGCTACACCACCAGGCTATAGAGTGGAAGCTAATGCTAAATTTGTAGATTATCATGATATTTATCAGAAGCTAATGATATAGTGCTAATTTCCACCATGTTTATATCCACTGGTGTCAACAGCACAACCTAACGGGACCATTTGTTGTTCCACATCGTTCAGTACGGTTTGTGTTTCAGGAAGTGATTCTTTGGAACAGACCTTTCATTCATTACTTCAGTTTTATAGTTGTTGTTTTGCTAGCTCTGTTGCTGATGCTGCCTAGCTAGCCACAGTACGGCTTCAGTCAGCAACCAGCAGGACGTCAGTAGGTTTTGAAGCTGTTTACTGATGCATTCTGGGTACAGAATAAATGGCATTTCCTGCTCCACATCCCAACAACGTGAGGATAGGAAATGGAACAGCACCTTAAACGCTCTTCACCTACTTCAAAATAAGAGCATGAATATTAACATTTAATTACTTTAATGTTTTTTAAAGTTAGCCAAAGAGCTAAATGATAAATTAGCTCCTCTGTAATATCTTCCTGTAATATTTACAATATTTCCCACAGACGACAGCAAGCGGCCTCCTAGAGGACCAACATTTGCCGACTTCCTGTCCCAGGGCAGAAGCCAGGGGCCCCGCGGGGACCGGAACAGAGGACGGGGCCGAGGACAGAGACAGAGCTACAGGCGAGTCCAGAAACCTTCCAGGCCAAACCAACATGTCAACACAAACACTAACCTCCAGTGTTGAGCATGGTGGTGGCGGGGTGATGCTGGAGCCAAAACAGCCATGGTATCAGAACCAGAGCGGACCGATCAGAACCTCCATCTGAAGGTTCTGATCTTACGCCGTCCTCAGGGACAAGGAGCAGAAAACATTAATAAAAGATGCTTTGATTTAGCTTAAGCTAAATCTGGTGAACGCAGCCTTAGTTCCAGGGTATTTTGTATCTGGAAAAAAAATAAGAGTTTTATTTAACAAAATCTAAATTGTTTGCATTTACCAATGCTAAAACATTAGTTGTGCTAATGCTGAAGCATTACACCTACACAGCATTTAGCAGAAGCTAATGCTACGGCGTTTACGGTGATTAACCGTTTCCCTTCCGGTCTCATTGACAGCATGCACGACAATCGCTGGGAAGGAGAGAAAAAAGAGGAAGAAGAGAAAGAAAAGGAGGACAAGACGAAGAAAGAGGTAAAAACTACAGCAAAGAAAACGAAGAAAGAAGAAGAAGAGAAACCCAAAGTTGAAACAGAAGAGCCGAAGGTCAGCGGGTTCAGCTGGAGCTAATCGTACACATGAAGCTAAACTTTCTCCCTAATTTCTCCTTTTTTTCTTTCCTCAGGAGGAGAAAAGCGAAGACGAGGCAGGAGATGATGATAATGAGTGGGAGGACGCCAGCGAAGAAGAGGAAGCTGGAGACAAAAGCGACTCGGAGAAAAAAGACAAAAGCAAAGCCGTCTCTCCTCCGTCGGCCAAACAACGTTTGCAGGAGAAAACGGCAGGAAGCCCGAAGGAGCAGCGGCCGCAGAGGCCGAAGGTTCGAATCCCTCCTCCTGCTGCTGCGGCGGCGGCCCAGGAGTCATCAGATAAGGGGAAGCCCCCCAGCCCGTTCTTCAGCCTGGACCACAACCCGGTGCGAGACTGGGGCGAGGAGATGGAGATGCAGTCGCCGCGGAGCAGCATGGGGGCAGAGAGCCCGCTGAAGCCCTCCAGCACCGAGTCCAGCCCGCCGCAGAGAAAGGAAAGCCAAGATGGCGGCGCCGGCGAACCGGGCGGGGCGCCCGCGGATGAATCTGCTCCTGCGGCAGACATCCAGGAGAACGCCACGGAGTCGGAACCGGAACAGACCGCCTCAGAACCTCCATCTGAAGGTTCGGATCCCACCCCGTCCTCTGCTGCTCCTGAGGTCAATGAGGTCGCCGTGACGACCAACCAGAATCCACTTCCTGCTCCATCAGAAGGTAAAACATCAACTCGACACGAAGAACATCAAAGCTGCAGGACGTTACTAAGTTTTTAAAACGATCGTCATGTTGTGACAGTAAAATACGAGTTTTATTTAATTTCCCTTTGGAGTCAATAAAGTATTTTTGAATTTGAGACAAATAATCAGTGAAAGAACGGAGTTCCTCTGCCTAGAAACAACCAATCAGAGGCAAGAGGAGGGTCTTAATGCTGTCAATAACCTCGTGTATGTGCTGCTCATAGCCTCCCCCTTGTACTCTTTTTTCTAATATCAGAGCCTGTCATGAATGCTAATGCTAGTTAGTCACTAGCACATTTAGCAGGGTACACGAGGATGATTGACAGCCCTAAACCCCGCCTCCTGGCTCTGATTGGTGCATTTCTTCAGACAGCAGTATCAGCTCAGGGAGGAGGTTGACTTTATCGATCTTCATAATATTACAAACTGTTTTCTCCTATCATTATGACTTTATTCTTGTATTATTACGACTTCTGATGTTATTTCCATTATTTAGATTTTTTTCTTGTAATATTATGACTATCGTCGTATCAGTGCGACTTTATTCTCTTAAAATTACAACTTTATTCTTGTAATTAAACACTAATTTCCTGTCCTGACACTTTTTAGATAAGGTTGTGATTGATGCTGCTGTTTTTCACTTTCTGTGTCTCTCTGTCAGAGGGTCAGTCGGACCCTCCCCGTCCCGCCGAGTCCGTTAACGGCGAACAGATTTCCTTTGACGCGCCGGTAGAGAACGAAGACAGCATGGCGGCTGCTGGGAGCGACGACGCCCCAGCAGCCGAAGCCGAACTTTCCTCGGATCAGACGTCATCAGGTTGGGAAGCTTTTCTCTGACTTCATTAGAGTCCAAAAGGGCAAATAATGTTACAGAAAGAAAGACATAAAAACTAAGAGACGTACAATTGAAACTTGAGAAATGAGGGATAAAACAGTCTGCAAAAGCCACACAGACAAGTTCATAGAAGATATGGAGAGTAAAAACTGTCAACAGTAACGACAGTGACATGGAGTCAATAAAAACATAAATCAGCCCAATAATCAGATGCAACTCAATTAAAAAATACTTTATTAATCCTAAAGGGAATTAAATAAACTCATCTTTTCCTGCATTAAAAAGGGATTAAATCGTAAGCGTCTAAAAGTGAGGCGCGGGGGCCATTTGCGGGCCTTGCTGCATTTTTGTGCGGCTTCTGGATGCAGCTTAGAAATTATTTAAATGGCAACAAATGGAAACTTTTTGTTTCTTTGTACAACATTTTCAATAACAAATTGTACAAATAAGTGTTTTTTTTAAATGTCAGTAAAAATGACAACAAATCTCCTTTTTACTTTTTACTCAAACGGTAAAACATCCAATAATTAAATACCTTTTGTAGTTTTCAAAGTTAGCTCTCATTTTTTATTGCCGGGGAAAAAAAACAAAAAATTTTAGGAAGCAAGTTTGAGACGTTTTTCAGACCTTTTTTTAAATTGAAATGCAATTATTATTTTACATTTTTAATTTAAAACAAAAGTACAAATATATTGTGGCCCCTGAGTGATTTCAACATGCAGGTTTTGACTGTGTAAAAAGTCTGGACACCCCTGAACTCTGCTCGTTATTTTATTAATTTATTTACATTCAGTCATGTTTAAATTACTTGTGTCACTCTTAGATACATACATATTTTATAAATTTTATTGCTTATGATTGTATTATTAATATTTAACACATTGAAAGGGGAGCTTGTCAACTAATGAGCAATTTCCCCTTGGGGATCATTAAAACATTCTATTTTATTAGGATGCTCACGTTTAAACTGGTTTGAATCAGTTCAGAATAATACCGTCTCTTAAGCCTGTATGTTTGGAATCAAATCTGTTGGGTGCTTTTTGTATTTTTCTTTTCGTTTAAATGTTTATCGTTCAGAAACGAACGTCTTTATTGATCATTTCCCCGTTACTGTCTCGTGTTTGTGTGTGAGCTACTTGAGTCCCGATGCTTTCCATAAATCGTTAGCGTGTCCATTTGCAGAGCGGCTCCAGTGGGGAGGGGAATCACTCGTCCTCGTTGGAATCAATAATCCGCTCACATTTCCTCAGCAGCGCTGCGGTTTGAAAGTGGAGCTAAGTGAATAAACCACAGGCTGCAGTCATTATCCCTCTATTTACAGCCGTTTAGCTCCTGTCCTCTGTGTCGTCGCTTAAGCTAATGGAAAAGTTCGGTTTTACATATTTGCAGCATAAAAAAGAAAACTAAAGGACATGAATCAGAAACCAAACGAACCTTTCGTACTGTTTTTTATGAATAATAAGGAAAAATTCAAGTAAAATGACTAGAAAATAGTTAAAATTAGATTTTCCCTTTACATTTACATGTATTTAAAAATGAGTAGAATTATACACATAACATCCTTTACAAGTTCCACCCTGAGAGCAAATGCTAGAGATGCTAAAATAAGAATCAAAAACATTTTTGTTACATCAATATGAAAATCTGAGCCGAGTTCGATATCTGATTTTAACATAACAAGATGGAAATAAATATTGGTTGTTAGTACCGGCCCAGTTTTATCAGGCCAGTACCAAAACGTTAAAAATTGAATAATGTTGTTTGATACCGATGTTGGTGCCGATACATCAGGAGTCTAATGCTAGTGTGGTTTTTAGCAAAAACACAGGAGAACTCCTAACATTTGATGCTACTCCATTTTTGTTTGTTTTTCTGGAGAAGGAAGTTGCCCTCATTGTTTTTCTTAAGAGGTTTTTGTCGTTTCCCTCAGTGATTGTTGGTGCAGCGCCCCCAGAGGCGGGGAGGGGAACAGGTTGCTCAAAGGGTTCGGTTGGTTTGACTTGGTTTAGAGAGAAATAGAACCACAGCAACTGAAAATGGAACAAATGTTGCAACTTTGTTCCCAAATAAAAGCGAGTCCACCAGAATATCAGGTGTGAAACCAGCCTGAATGTAAAGTGGACGTTTCCCTCGTTGATTTGTAGTCGTTGTTTTAGGTTAGCTGTCAAACATTTTCTGTGAATTTACTCAACTACAAGAATAATTCTGGGGGATTTTTTTGACCATTTACATGTTCAGGAAAAATATAATTTCTTTACTTTGAGTTAAAATACAGAATAGATAGTTATATTTTACAGACAGGTTTACTTTATATGAAACGGCTGTAGATTTAGAGTCGTTGTCTTTAGCTGCTGTTTCTGTTTTCTCTGTCGGGTCTAAAATAGCTCCTGTCAGCTCAGACGGCAGCTTCTCCAAAAAAGGAGTTGATTTGCCGTGAAGGAATCTCCAGACCAAAACCGTCATCTAGACTAGATCAGTGTCAGTCCCGCTCTCCGACCCTGAAGTACCGGCTGGTCCCACACCATGCACTGCAAAACTTTATAGATAAGGAAAAAGAAATAATTAAAGGTGACCCGTTATGCTTCTCTTAACAGGTTAAGTTAGGTTTACGGTCTATACAAGACATGGTTGTTATATTTTTTTGCATAAAATCATTCTTAGATGACCAGATTTTAGTCTGCTCATTGAGATTGAGCAGTTTTAGGGCCTCTGTCACTTTAAATCCAAATCAGCTGCTGCTGGCCACGCCCCCAACTCAACGTTTACACCTGCATATGAAAGTAGCTGCAAACAGATGCACCACTACACAACTTTACATCTTTGAAAAGCAAAAGTGGAGCCCCCTTCACAACAAACAAGAATGCAGCAAGTGGTCTCTACAATGTCTTTTCCAGCAGCCATTGTACACCACGTACACTGTAAAAACACAAAATCTTACCAAGTATTTTAATCTACTTTAAAGTGCAAATGTCTTGGTACACTTTAAATAAGACAAAACTCACAAGAAACTTTTCAGCAAGAAATAGGAGCTTGTTTTAAGTCAATAATTCCTTAATACTGATATATATAAAAACGTTAAATTATAAAAAATGTTATTGTTAAACTCCCAAATTATTTCACTTATTAAATAGGAAAAATATCTTGCTATAAGTGAAATTATCTTTTTCATCCATATTAAGTAATTATTGACTCTAAACCAGCTCCTGTTTGCTGAAGTTGCTTGTAAGTTAGTTTTGTTTTATTTAAAGTGTCCTAAGATATTTGCACTAGTAACTACAACAAAAAGTCTTGGTAGGATTCTTTGTTTTTGCAGTGTACAGTGGTAAAACAAGCTCACCGAACATACTGGAGCTTGGGTTGGGTTGCTAGGTAACAGGCGGAGTTCCCCTGTGGTTGCTAGGTAACGGCACAGTGCCTGCTCATTTGTGAGGTTTTTGAAGTGGCTCATTTTCCAGACACCAAAGAACATGAACTTATTGCCAAAAAACAGCTGAGTGTTTTTTAATGTTTTTAGAAGCAGTAGAAACCCGAAGGAAAGCAGAGAAATGTCCAAAATGTGAATTTTGCATAATGGGTCCCTTCTAGAAATCTTCTAGATAATTGAACTAATATTTATTTTGATTATTCCAAATATAGAACTAATGACACATTATGTTAGGTATTTAAACAATATGGCAAATTTAAATTTATCAATAAATTACCATAAAATGTGAAAGTGACACATTTAAATTTGTTTTGTTTTATTTTCAACTTGATTTATTTTTTTAAATGACTAGAACTATGTTACTGGATCCTCAGGACTGAATAATTTTGTAAGGTTTAAATAACTAAAACACTTGTTGATTTCAGGAGCCATTTTTATTTTATTCCAAACGGCTCACTTGATATTTACTTACTGGCAAAAATTTGAGTCTTAAAACATGTAACCTGTGCAATAACGCCGTAACATGGTTGAGATGGCCATTGTTTTATTTTCTTTGGAATAAGGAGGAAGGCTGATTGCATTTACGCTTCTGGTAACTGGTGTGTGATTACCAGCAGAAGTCAGATGAGCTCATGTGTGTGTTATGTTGTTATGTTGACGGCGGCGGTTGTGTGTTGCGATCGGGTGGGGATCAGGAAACCAGGGAAATCAGAGGCACAATTAAAGCTTTTAAACGGCTCCTTTGGAGGAAATGAGCTGCAGCCTGCAGGAGCGATGATGTGCAGATATCAGGGAGGCGTTTCAGGCGTGATTGAATTAAATCTCGTCATGTTTCCGAGGCTTCTTGTTGAACAATCTGGCAGCGACAACAGGCGAATGTACATACAAAAAAAAAAACTTTCAGGAATAAAAATAAAAAGCAAAAGCTACGATGTAGCTCCAAATCCAATTTCAGCAGTGGAGACACTGGTTGCTATGGCGATTCCCGCCTAAAGTAGAGCGGAGGGAAACGCTTGTCAGAAAGAAAAGCGGACTAAAAAGTCTTAAAGATATGGTGATTTATAGGTTTTATAGAGGCTGAGTGGTAAATCTGTTTTATTAATTGATATTTTTGGTTTCTAAAGATTTAATTTTTGGAAAATTAAATCTTTAAAATTAAATCTCTAGGGTTGTTTTTTTTTCACCAATTCACTCCTTGGGTTTCCTTTGTCACATAACTAAGCATTTTTCTAAAAAAAAAAAAACACATTTAAAAATTTACAAATAATTCCTTTCCCACTATTTAATTCATTTATTGCAACTCGTTTATTGTTCACTGGGAAAGAGAAAGTCAGTATTTTGTTTCTTGTTTTTTTTTTCTTATTTTTTCGGCTCCTGACTCATTTTGATTTGACATTTTTGGCCCTTGTGACAGAAAGTTTGGACACCCCTGATTAGCTGAAGATTCAGTAACGTGGGAGCAGTAAAGTAAATGAGTGAAACTGCACTGCTTTCAGGCCGCCTTCCTGTCGTTCATTCATTCACCTCGGCAGACTGAGTCGGCTTTATTAATGAGTCTCTCTAATTTGCATCTGAAAAGTTGTTTTAAAAACGTCTGACACCCGGAAGCTAAAATCAGACCGGTGTTTGTGACGACAGGATCAGGATGTTGTTTTATGCTGGATGACGGTCTCTGTGTGTGCACTGGTCCATCCAGGACCATTAAAAAACAATCATTTATAACGACTAATCGATTCTTCTGACCATTAGTCGATTGTTTTGATAAACTTGGCACATTGCAGAATTTTCCTTAAACTCTTGAGGTTTTTTTATACAATATTAGAAATACATTTAAAGATGAAAGTAAACCAATAATGCAATTCATTTTTAAGTAACACAACAAATGTTGCTTAAAAACATAATTCCTTTAGTGAACACTTGGTCATTAATAGCAAAAGCTCAGTTCTCTCTGCTTATCAATACAGTGTAAGGCTGATCTGTTGATTCTTTTGATTATCTGGTAGCAGAAGCTGCTTAATACATTTTTCATACAGAATTTGAACCAAGAGAAGCAAAAACTGCCTCCTGAGGAGTTCTGGGTAGATCATTATTTTTATCTTAATTACAAAATTATGTATTTTTTGTACAGGTTTGGCTTAATTACTGCCCTGAATTATTTGTTCTTTCAGCAAATTACCAATCCAATTAATCACCAATGAATTACCATTTATTAGTAGTGTTAATCATGATTAATCAAATTGTAACGATTAATCACAATTACCCCATTAATTAATCACAAGAAATCTAATTAATCACAGTCTGATTAATCACAATCCAGTTAATCACAATCACTCTAATTGTGATTGGTTAATATGATAATTAATCACGATTAATCTGATTAATCGTTTCTGCCTTTTTGCTCTGATTAACTGGAGTCTTCATGTTTCTACCTACAGGTTGAGCCGGACAGGAGAGGGAGCGAAACATTGGCGGCACCGAGGTTTACATCTACATATGACTTTAATCATCATCATCATGAGGAAGAGGAGTGATGGAGCTTTACACGCATGGACCAACCGGTCGCTCTCAGCTGGTTTTAGGACTTTGGATCATTCTGATCCACCGAAGCATCGTTGGTCTCATCTCCATCTGTTTCTTCAGTATTCTGAATGTTTTAATCAAAAACTGAGGATTTCTTCCTCCAGTGAGAGAGAAACCAGACGTCAAAGTCTGGCTTGTTGAAACGAGCCCAGATCTATAAAAAAATCACTGTTTTTTCACATTTATTTAATGAAATAATGGTTTTAAAACTACAATTTTTAATTGCTCTTATCTTTTTCCCAATTCAAATTTCTTTGAGGAACTGAAATCTGTAAAAAGGGGCATTTTTAGCATCTTTTACCACCCTTTCTGTTCACGTGATAATCTAGTCGGGGGCAAACCTCATTTTCAGCGAAGTGAGTTAAATTCACATTTTTAGATTAGAAATGACCAGATTATGTTACATAATTCACAATTTTGCAGAAAAGCCAGGCTTGGTGACGTCATGAAGTCACCCGCAGCCGCTAGCGATGCTAAGCTAGTTGATTCAAAGCTTCGCTCTCAGGTTAAAGCGTGATTGTTGGTTTCAAATCTACAGTAAAGGGGATCTGACTCATTAATCCCATGTTGTAAATAAAATCACAGTAGATACAGGAAGGATTTGAATGTAAACGATGCAGTAAACTGATAGAAACACTTCATGGAGACAACATGAGGCGCTTTCGCACGGAACGGTTCTGAGCGTGTTCGCATTACAACTTGCGACCGGTTCCACCCGGCCCCAAGGAACCACAAGAGCTGTGGTTCCAACCAAGCGGTTCTGCTTAGAACCAGCTGCTGATTGGCCGCTGGTTGTTAGTCAGACGTTGATTTTCTGTTGACAGCTGGCTCTCAGTACTATATTTTGTAAAGAGTGCTCTTTGCAATATTTTTATTAAATTGGCAGTTAGCAACCAACTAACTCAAACCACATTGTTTAGTTTTAAAAATAATGCCGTCCGGCACGCTTCGATGGCGCCCTCAGTGTAATGTGAACACAGCAGGGCTGGAACCGTTCCATGCAGTGCGAAAGCGCCTATGGCGTCCGAGTCTGAAATGCTGATTATTGTGTTGATTGGATTTAAATCATAAAGTCTGTTTTTACTACATCATGTAACAAACAAGTTTGTTTTTTTATTAAATGTTGCATCATATCAAAACATGTTTTTAATTTTGAACAATCTTGTTTTGCTTTAAACCAGCTCTTCTTTTCTCTTCATCCATGAATTATGTCTGAGTTTGTTGCCACAGCGACGCAAAGAACAACACTGCCTAAAAGTTTGTTTTTATACTTTAAGTTACCTTAAAATGATGTAATGTTCGGATGCAGTATGTGTGTTTTGTCTCTCCCCTCATACCTCAGCAGACCAAGAGGGTTTTTATTTGGTTTGTTTGAGTTTTTCCTTGTCTGTAAATGGTGTTTTATCTGAGCAGCTGTGTGGCGTTTGCGGACAAAACGACAAACTGATTGCTTTAAAGTCTTTGTGTCTGGGATCTGATGAATAAAAATCATGAATTTGGGTTCAAAGACGCTGCAGTTTCTCGTTTCTTAATGTTCTGCAGCTGTTTCTGTTAAATCCAGCATGTAAAGTTGATTCCTTTAGTTTTATGATAAAACTTGTTTTTCTTCTTTTCTTCTACAATAACAACAAACTACAATTCTTCCAATGATGGAAGAAAAAATCTTTACCCTCCATCATCCAAACAGTGGGTAGAGTGAGATGAGTACCAACGACAGCCACAATATTCTTTTTATGCCCTGAAATCATTTCAGGGTGCGTTCACACTGCAGCCTGAAGTGACCCAATTCCGAT